GAAGGAAGTGTTCAATGAAAACAATAAAAACAGACATGATGCCTTTCCCATTTATACACACTGAGTACCGAATTAAGATCTTGAGCTTTTACACAACGCTGATTTCAGCACTTGAACAGAAGATCTTAACAGCTGCAGGGCAGTGTCTAGAGAGTATGTGTGCATATGTGCAATAAAAGCTGTCTCTAGGGAAAGAGGTACAAACTCGCCTGATGGGCCAAATGACCTTGCAAAAGTTAGCCGACACAAACCTTTACCGTTTACTTTCAACAGCGGCCCCGAGTAGGGCTGGGTATCGTTCAAAATTTTTCGATATCGATACCTTGATTTCGATACCGGTTCCTGAAAGATACTTTTTTTGATACCAATTTTATTAAATCAATTTTAACAAGATTACATTATCTAAAAAAAAAACCTTGGCTTTATTTTTCAGCTTGTTGATGTTTATACAAACTCAAAGACTCATCTCCTGAGCCACTGCACAAAGGAACAATATGTAGGCTAACCAACACAAATGCAAAATAAGTGCAAATAGTTAATAAAACTCAAATAGTCTTCAGTTTACACATCTGTTAGGCTACATTTACACTAGTGCATGTTCGTTTTTTAAAATGCATAGTTCAGACAGAATCATAATTTCGATTCATTTTCCACTGATTTACTGATGAGCATTAGCAGCTTCCAGCGCTGTCTGCCTGCGCTCTCTCTTCCACAATCGCTGTTCTGACTCAGAGGTAATAACATATTTAATTTCAGCAACATTACATGGCCAAAACACACATTGAACAGCAATCGGAAGTTATTAAAAACACTCGATGGTGGTTTAAAGTGAGTTTTGAGTAAAAGCGGAACATAAATCTTATGTAGCATGATGCTACAGTGTGCATGAATGGTCACGTAACAGGCGCTTTCGGTCGTGTAGTATGAACAAACATCTGCATATGATCGGAACTCCACACAGCTCGCGCACTACTCTCCACTGGAAATGAATGACTTCCAGTCTGTCGCTTGTCGGAGATAGTGGAAAGCCGGCTTGAAATGCAGTGTAAATGCAGCCTTACATCTAAGGGGGCTGGGATGCTTTCACACTACAGCCTCACGTGTGAGCCACATCTCTGAGTGTAACCCAAGGCCGGGGGTGGGTGGGTGGGGGGATTTGAACGCGATCGATTTCGTGAAATCGTAAAAACAGCGCGCATAAAGTGATTGCATGCTTTCGCGTGCGTCTGCAATGGCATGTGATCACAGGCTACACTAGATTCGGGTGGGAATCATGCAATCTGTGTAAACTAGTAGATGTGTCCGACTTGACGCAGACTGACTGTGCAGACCGCTCGGTGTATTACAGTACCACGAGCTATTGAGAGCAGACTGCTCTGTACGCTTTCGAATCACTCTCGCGCATGTCAAACACATATCGATCTGCGCCGCACCGCTTCTAGTCGAGCACACCTAGTGCTGCAGGCTTATTGGCCCACGGACGTTGATGAGATTAACCCCTTAAGTATCGAAATGGTACCAAACGACGAGATGTTTTTCGATACTCGATGATATCGAGGCAATTCAGTCGGTGCCTAAAAACTATCGAACTCGATACCCAGCCCTAGTCCTGAGAGAGCCATACATATTCCTATCATTGATTTCTGTCAGAGCAATTTCTCTTTGAATCAAAACCTTCTGCTAAAACGATCTGTAAAGGTCATTGTAACAAGGCAGCTGGGTTTGCCTTCTTTCACCTTGTGTTGAGAACAGATCGTACTGATTTACATGTGGGCAGATCAATTTACTGAAACATGAGGGTGTTTTCATGTTTCTGTGAAAACAAACAAAATCTTCAACACACTCCAAAGTTGTAGTGAGAAATAAAGGGAAAGAACAAAAGAAAGAGATCAAGACCTAGAACATCGCAAATCTTTCCTCCTGTTGAAATATGCTCAGATATCTAAAAATCCTTTCAGGCGATAATACACTCAATTTTATTCTGCACTTACTATTAAATTGATGCACTAAGAGGATGACGCATGCTAGCATTCCTCATTGTGTGCTTTATTTCCTGCAGGCTTTGCAGCGTGACTACAGCACACATGCATCCTGAGGCGGCGATAAGATGTGTGCGTGTGTCTCAAACTCCTGATCAATTTCTACACAGACCTTGGTTTGCCAATGACTGCATCAGTATGAGGTAATGGCCAAAAACTGAGCAGTCTATAGAGGTCTAACGTTTCTGTGTCTTGGGGGAAATTTAAGCATCTACTCTGTCCTTGTCCAAAAAAGACACTCCCTTCCAAGTAACTGTTTCCTTACTCCTATAATGTGACTTTTTCTCACAAGTGCCAAACTGTTACAATTTGCTTACGAAAAGTCTACATTAAACCTTACTCTCTGTACATTTCAACTGCAATGAGAGACAAAGTGATAGGGAAGAATGGCTCATGTGCATGTTATTCAACTTTCTCACACACATGCAAACCAAACAACAATTGAATGCAGACAACAAGACTGCATGAATACAGCATCTCTGACATTCTGCAGGCCACAAGTCAAGTGCAGGGGAGAAAGTAAAGGGGGAACTGGGAGAGGACAGATGGAAGGAGAAAGAAACGAAAGAGCTGATCTTCCTCAACGAAGGCACTACAAAAGAACACAAAGTAAATGAATGCCTTTACCTTGTTTGATCAAGAAGATCTCATGAGTGTTTGTGTTTTGGTTTCTCTTTGATCCTGGGCTACATAAAAACATGTCTGTCCATATCAGGGATGTTTATGAGTAATTGAGCAGTCAAGTAGTAGAAACACTTCCTACTGAATCAATCCCTTATTTTATTTTCTAAATCTTAATTCTGTAATGAATAGGCTACTTATTTTAAAATGACAATTGAAATCTAACTCTCCTAAGCTGTTCAGAAATGGTCTCACTTTGGGTGCTATGTGAAGTAGTGGTCGTACCTTATGCCGAGTTCACAATGCACGATTTTCAAGAAGATCTCATGAGTGTTTGTGTTTTGGTTTCTCTTTGATCCTGGGCTACATAAAAACATGTCTGTCCATATCAGGGATGTTTATGAGTAATTGAGCAGTCAAGTAGTAGAAACACTTCCTACTGAATCAATCCCTTATTTTATTTTCTAAATCTTAATTCTGTAATGAATAGGCTACTTATTTTAAAATGACAATTGAAATCTAACTCTCCTAAGCTGTTCAGAAATGGGTGCTATGTGAAGTAGTGGTCGTACCTTATGCCGAGTTCACAATGCACGATTTTAGCCCGATTTTTCACTCGCCGACAGGTTTTGCGAAATCGCCAACAAATGCTCGAAATCGGAGGCAAATCGGTGCTCGTTCACACGAGTGACAATCACGCAGTGTGAATTATCAAAAATGCGATCTGATGAAATATTTTGCATGCTAAATATCTGGAGCTGTCGGCGATTCACAATCACGCTGTGTGAAACGAGTTCTGACTGAAAAACACATCGGCGATGACCTACAGCCAATGAGAGAGCACGATACAGGGCAGCAGGAAGTTCGGGGAGGAGTTATATTAAACGTAGTTTGCGGACCAGTGTTGCCAAATCCGCGATTGCCACCGGTTGTTTTTTATGTCCGCAGGTTGAAGTGAGCCCAATAACGTGATATTTAGGCCCTGGAATGTGAATTGTACCAGGAGAACCCCACCAAAAATGTGTGTATTTTACCCACCGAACGCGATTTTTACTGGGGGACCCCCTCGAAAGCAATTGGGCTATTTTCAGGCTAGTTTTGAGTAGTAATTGGGCGGGTTTTGTAGCAAAAACCTGGCAACCCTGCACCAGACAGAGCTGTCTGCAATTCTTCCTATTGTAAAGTCATGCAGTGTATAACCTCCTGTCGTCATTCCATCATGCAGTGTGAACACAGCAACAACTGAATGCTACCCCAGATAGTCGTTCAGTTTGAAACCAACAGTGATGCGATGTCTTTGAAAATCGTGCCGTGTGAACTCGGCATTACTTATGCTAAGTAGTAACAATAAAATTATGCACTTTTTACCCTCCTAAACTGGGGTAATTTTGCGACTGTTTCCCCTTGCAAACAGAAAAAGTGTAACTTTGGGGTGGGTTTCATAGTTGGGTTTGTTCAAAATTGTGGCTGATACATAGATTAATATTATTCATATTAACCAAAAAGTTGTGTATAGGTATTGGGTATTTGCCATTAATTTCCCATGGTTGCTTAATTCTGACTGAACAGTCAAGGTATGGCTTTTTTTTTTTTTTTGTAAGAAGTTTGTTTTGCTGTTTTGCATCTAAAAAGAAAAGTACTAAAGTCTGAATGACTCGGATGTAGGAAACCATTTATTAAATAATCAAAAATGTGTGGTGTGTGGTGGGCGTTCTGGCGCACTACGGCTGTCGTCGCATTTTCCAGGTGGATGCTGCACACTGGTGGTGGATGAGAAGATACCCCCTGACAATGTAAAGTGCTTTGAGTGCCTAGAAAAGCACTTTATAAAATGTAATGATTTATTTATTTATCATTATTAAAAATGTAACTGGTCAAAAAATATCCAAACAGCCTAGGAGAATTAATTAATCAATATATAATTTTGTGTGATTTTATAATTTTGTGTCAACTACAAAATTACTCAAATGCCCATCTCATGTCCGTATCTACTCTAGACCATAATGCTCCACAGGAAAGCTAGTACACTCAGTACTTATCTGATGCCACCCCATGGCCAAGTTACCAACTCCTTCCTCTATCCATCGCACCCTGTCTTCCCCCATTCACTGTATATATCAACACTACAGTCCAAACAAACTCATTCCTCACATAGACATTCATGTCAGTACAAATGAGAAATACAAATGGGTGTGCTGGAACAGAATAGAGAGAGATCAGAAAAGAAAGAAAACATTTTTACAACGGATCAAACCATAGGGCATCGATTCTGTTGGGTGGAAATCATGAGAGAGAAAGAGTAGGAGAGACTGAGTTTGACAGAGAAGGTTGCTTGCTTACCCTGCATGGTTTTGCCCAGGCCTTGACCCAACTTCCAGCCATGTTTCTGAAGGAGCCGGTGCCCAATGTTATCCTGATGTGAGGAAGAGAGGAAAGAAAGACCACAATATTCCAATAATAAGAAGTGCTTTCCTCACACACACACACACACTCACTCAGTCACAAGTACATGTGGTAGCCAGTCAACTGTCAAAACATCTTCACTCACTGTCATCAACAAAAGCAACATTTGCTACACTTTTAAACTCCTTGTCAGATGGGGAGAAGGGAGAGAGAGAGAGAGAGAGAGAGAGAGAGAGAGGAAGAACAGAGGGAGATAGATAGAAATAACAAGAGGAGGAAAAGTCTCTGGGCTCTGTAATAAGGCACATCTGTTTCTGTGCAGGATTAACTGAACCCAACTTCATACTAAAGTCTATAGTCTGACATCTAATCTATATCTTAAATGGGGCATTTCTCAATAGAACAACTAGTGGAGGTAACAGCTAAAAGAAAAGTGATGTAAACACTACCAACCTCTGAGTCTACTAATTCACTTTCAGTCTCAAAAGGAAGGAGGCAGGGACATACGGTTATATACATATCATGACAAAAATACATATATAAACCGTCTCAGGGAGGGAGATTAATACACAAACAACTAAGGGGGAAGTAACGACACAGACATTGAGCTTGTATACACATAAAAACGAAAAACTTTCACAAGCTTTATGCTAGTTCATCATGACAAGAGGTGTCAAAAAAAAACATACAGTATGTAGCTGTAACGAGAGCGAAAGGAGGAGATCGAGGAGCGACACAGTCAGACAGACAGTTAGATCGATAGATTTATGAAGAGACAAAAAGTAAAGTGGAGAGAGGGAGGCCTCAGGTTACCATTGAGAGGCCCGATCTGCATGTGGGTGAGTGCGTGTTTGCATTTTACATACTGATCTGATGCTTCATAAAAAAACAAACAAAAAAACAGGGTATAGAAATAAAAATATGAAATGCAAGAATAAAAAAATTCAAGCTTAAAGTCATGGCAAAAAAAAGAAAAGAAAAAGAAAAGAAAAAAAAAACTTATCTGATCCAAGCATAAAGAAAAAAAAAAGTGTGCATTGAGAGAAAAAAAATACTTATCTACACACACCACAAATAAAGGCCATTATGAAAAAAAAGAAAGAGATGAAAACAAAATCCATTAACCAGCATGCAGCTTTTTGTTAAACCACTTTTAACAAAAAGAAACGGCGGGGTTAGTCACGTCTGTATTACAGTAGTAAGCATATACAGGGAGGGAGAGGGCAGCAGAGAGCTCAGGATGTTGTTAGAGATGAGGCCGAGCATACAGCAGTGATGCACAAGGTCATCTAAACAGATGTCACAACCTACAGAGGGTGAGCATAAGATGGAGCAGCCATGAGTGTTGTGTGAGAGGCGATGACTGGAGCAAGAACTAGGTTACAGCATTATGGGTAGGGAGGGAGTGGTCACCCCCACAAGACACACCCACTTTCCATTAGCACTGCCGATTGTTTGCCACACTCTTCAGCAGTTTGGCCAAATTGGATGCTGAAAATTATATATATATATATATATATATATATATATATAATAAAATCAACAGTGTTTCAGTCTGTTATTAGAGAACCATGAGGGTTGTTTTAAGTAACGCTTCAAATAGCTACTCCATTTATTTTTCTTGCTTTGGTGTTAAGATTGCTACTGGGATTTGATCATATTCTTCCATTTATTTAATGGGGTTATTGCAACAGGCCTCCTGAAAAGTCCCTAACTCGCTTAAGGGTTGGGTTATGATTACATTTATGTAAATTACATTTCCTCTGAGCACCGGTTTTTGCATAACTAAACCTTTTTTATGTGAATTTGTATTTGTATAAAAACTAACATTTAAAAGTTTGGGGTTGATCATTTAAATGTTTTTGAAATAAGTCTCTTATGCTCACCAAGACTGCACTTATTTGATCAAAAATACAGTAAAAACACTAGTATCGTGAAATATTATTACAACCTAAAATAACAACTTTAAAATATAATTTCTTCCTGTAACGGATTTCATTGACTTGAGTGATTAGAGACAGTAACTGTAACTATTGTGAGTTTAACAGTAAAGGCCCGTTCACACCAAGCACGATAACTATAAAGATAACGTTCTAAAAATCGTTCTCAGTATCAAAGAATAGCAGAGTCCACACCACAGCTATAACGTTAAAGGCACAGAGAAACGATATCGTTGGAATCACTTCCAGAATTTTTTTTCTTCCCAACTGATGAACGATACAAACATTGACAGCCAATCAGAATCCATCCTGCTATAGCGAGCTCGAGAATTTAAAGCGGCAGACGCACGTATGCTTGGAATAAACAGACGATATCGTTCACTGGTGTGGACGCTATTATAGTTATCTTTATAGTTTTCATTCTTGGTGTGAACGGGGCTCTACTATCGTGCAGTAACTGATAGTAAAGAGGAAGAGATGATTGGTTCACTGGTGCTCCGCACTACCACTTGTACTGAGGCGCCTGCAGTGATCCGTCATACTACATTAAAGAGTATAAAATGGTATTTATTGTTTGAATTTAATAATAAAATTGACAATTTGAAAACAGACTTTTTTCATACCAAAACTAACGAAGCATAAATCTTGATATAAGTCTTGATATAAAATCCCAATTCTTTTGAACGGTAGTGTGTATCTCAAAACAACTAGTAATATTGTTTTTATAAAAAAAAAAAGAAAAAAAAAGTATTGTGTCAAAAAGCAGAACTAACAATTACTAAAAATCAATTCTGCATGTTGGTTATCATACCCAACAATCAGTATCTTATTGGTCATACAGAATGAATGTTGGTCGATCTCTCCTTTTACATATCTTAGATTAATCTATATTGAACAATAGTGTTAAATCTTCAGTTCATTTATATCTCAGCTCGAACATTTGGTTCATTACCTGCATATATTTGTATGTGGTGATAGAACATGGAAATGTTTTCTCCAGATGGTTAGAGCATGGGGAGCTGGACTAATGCTCATCTTGTACAAAATCCCCTTTGGGCCTCTGGACATCCAAACACTTCTGTGCATGTTCTTCCGTTCAAATTACAGGGATGAAAAAAGGAACAAGACCGTGTGATAACGATCATTTCCTTTTCTGTATTTTCAGTCTGCAGAGGAGGACACAGAGCGCACATCAAAAACCAGCATATGGCCAATTACAGCAAGGGACTCGCATGTGCCTCTAAAAAAATACGACGGTAGAACAGAATTAATCACAAGACACATGAGCTCACTGCTTACAGATGAGAAGACAGACCGCAGCATTGAAAGAACGCAAGTCCCAGGATCTTTGGTTTATCAGCAGTGCAGATGCACTTGCAGTAAGCCCAGCCCAAAAGGCCTGCAATGCAGTGGCTCTGCAGCGTCCTCTGCTAACAACACACAGCATTTCATCATTCTGAGGACTGGAGGAGGATCTAAACAGAGTGTGCGTTGAGCTGACCTCACATTACCTCTTCCTGCTGAGTGGAGCACTTTACATAGCAATCGTGAACTCCTCTTTCTGAAACAGGAGACCATTAGATCAAGAGAAACAGAACTTGATGAAGAGAGTCGTCTTTGTTTAGTCTAATTCTTCATATTAGCCAATCAGAATCAGTCAAACGTGGCCAGAGGCCAATCACCGGCTGTGTGAATGGCATGTCAGGCAGACGTGGGAGGCGGGTGGGTTTTGTGGGGACAAATGGATGAATGCACTAAAATAAAACAGACAGATGAAGAGCAACAACGCTGAAGAATCCAACAGCAGTGCAAGTGGAGTGAAAACATGTCCATACGAACCTGGCTTTTAAACCCTGGGCTGTCAAAAGAACAGTCAAACGTCACACAAACTGAAGAAACTGGCCAATCTCTACAGCTTTCTACTGGTCACACTGTCTCTTTGATCCACTACATTACCACAGTGAATTCACACATCTACACATCCACTAACTGGCAGTTAATTCATATAAAATGATTTAAAAAAACAACAAAGAATGTTATAGTGTCCAAACAGATACACTCCCACAAGAAAAGTGTGAAAGAGAGTGATGTTATCAACATAGTAATAGCAGAGAGTGAGAGAGGGAGAGAAAGATGGAATTAAATTAAAACAGGACAGAGATGTGCAGGGCAGCGAGTGGATTTCCATTTGTGACCGCTTCATTAAGACTGACTTGAAATTTAGTCTCGGAGAATGAGATCACACTAAATTTGACATTTTATATTTTGCAAATACTGAACCATGGGAAATTCACAATAGTCCTGTTACAAAAACATGTCATCTTATAAATAAAACGTAAATAAACACCTATTTCTGTTTCTGTCCATGAAAATGTGAAAAGTCTATGAAAACAGCATTTGCTCTCTCGATTTGGAAATAAAAACCCCAATTTAGTCTCGGAGAATGAGATCACACTAAATTTGACATTTTATATTTTGCAATACTGAACCATGGGAAATTCACAATAGTCCTGTTACAAAAACATGTCATCTTATAAATAAAACGTAAATAAACACCTATTTCTGTTTCTGTCCATGAAAATGTGAAAAGTCTATGAAAACAGCATTTGCTCTCTCGATTTGGAAATAAAAAATTAATAACATAACCACACAAGGAACTAGGAATTGTCTCCGTGACCAATGGAAATGTCAAATCAAATAACTGTAAGAGTCAGTCAGAGGTGGCTGATGATGAAACACTTTGTAAGGTGACATTGTTCCTGCTGACCTTCATGCTCTACAGCTGGACACCAAAAGGTCAGTCCTTTAAACAGAGAAACAACCAAAAAGAGCCAGAGAGATCAGAGCAGGAAAGTGTTAATAAGTTAAAGTGAGGTAATGGGCCAGTTGAGTGTTTTTTGGGGGAGGGGGGTGGGTGTTTGTTTGGGGACCTGGACAGCTGGTGTTGTGTCAATGTGCTTATGGAAGAGAGGGAAATCTAACACATTCCCTTCCTTACCACCACAAAGTGTAAACTGCTCAGTACCAAATTTGAAGATATAGTGGCTTTTTAATGTCACAATCACTTCTC